AACATACTAGTTAAAAAAAATGATATCATTTCGGAATTTTCTCACAAAGCAGCGGTAATGTGAACACTAAGTTACATAGTTTTGCAGATGTTTCATGACAAATCGGCTTGATATTCAACGCTTCGACCCACGTGGACGGAGTTAGGCGCTGGCGCTGATTGGTATTAGGGTACATCACGGCACATATAAACTTCCTGATTATGGTGTTACTCGATATCCCAATCATTGTGAATGCTGTAGTGGATCACTGCAACGGTCAGTGAACGCCGCCGTTTTCCCATCCTGTTGGAAGCTAGCGCACATCCCAAGTAACCAAAAGTTCCGCATTCAACGATTAAAATCACTTCCAAGTTCCGTAAAGTTCAAATAAAGTTCCAACCGAACCTTCAAGTTCCATAAAGTTCAAATAAAGTTCCGACAGAACTTTCAAGTTCCATAAAGTTCAAATAAAGTTCCGACAGAACTTTCAAGTTCCATAAAGTTCAAATAAAGTTCTGACAGAACTTTCAAGCCACATGAAGCAATCCGCACAAGTCTTTATTAGCTACAAAATTTAATGTACGTAATTATGAAATGATCAGTGGCCCGAATAAATCATAATTCTTATATTTATGCAATGCATCAACATTCTATACAAACATAAAAAAAATTAAAAAGTTATTTCCTGAATTCGAACTCGTGTTTTCGGCATGTGATCTTCGCACGCTAACCACTGCGCCACAAATGTATTAGTATACGATGCAGGCAAACACCAATTTAAAATTCATCAAGGTGTTGTGCTTCGTATTCAAGTCAGTCAGCTGGACTGAAAACTCCAACAGTAGGCGGGACAACAGCTCACTTTACTATATCTCAGATGACGCAGTGGTTCGTGCTGGAACTCTCACGCAGAAGGACTGGGTTTTAATTCTTCAAACAGCTCCAATTCTCTACCACTTATGTTGATAAATCAATACATATTAATACCAGCCTTTAGAACTAACTTTCATAAAAGTGCGAACTAAATATAGAATTATTGTAGAGGACAAAAACCTTTTTTAATATTTTCTAAAAGTTCCGTTCAAGTTCCGCCAGAAGCTGCTTAGAATGCTCTTCAATTATGATACCGGAACTATCAAGTTCTTATAACGACTTAAAAATGAGGCTGCTTAGAATTCTATAGACCAACACCAACCAAGCTGCTTAAGCCACAAATAGCCTTTTATCGGAACTTTTGGTTACTTGGGATGTTTCCACTACACAAGAAGGGCAGCAAACAGGACGTTGGCAACTAACGTGGCATCACTTCGCTTAGCGCTGTTGCTAAATTGTTCGAACTTGTTGTTATGGAGCCGTTACTCACTCACTGTAAGCCGATTAGTGGCAGTGGAGCATGATTCCATGACTGGTCGCTCCACTGCCACTAACTTCCTTTGTCTTACTTCCTACATCTCTAACAGCATCGTGGATCGTGCTCAGACGGATTTCATTTATACTGACTTATCTGCTGCCTTCGATCAATTGAATCACCGCATATCAATCGCAACATTGGACAAGCTTGGGCCATGAGTCCAGGGATTTTTCTTTTACTTGTGGGAACTTCGTAAAACTTCAAATAGATGTTCAGGGAAGATCGTAGAAATTTAGTAAACTTGGTCGAAATTCTTGGAAATTCATAGACCTTCAGAAAAATCGTAGACAAAAGGAACTTGGAAAAGTTCTGAAAACTGCGTCGAAGTAGAGAATTCATTTAAATTTGAGGAGCTTCGTAGAAGTTAAAGGAACATTACTTTATTTTAGCCTTATGGACAAGGAATAGTTGTGGAAATTACGTGCAAATTCAAGAAATTTCGTTCAAGTGCGTGGAAAATCCACGAGAAACGTAGAAGTGCAGCATACTTTGTAGAAGTTTTTCGAATTTCGTAGCATTTTGCGGAGCTGATTGGTAAAAAAAAACGTCATATAAGTGTAAGGAATTTTTAAAAAGTTCATAGAATTTTTTAAACGATCTAAAAATAGTCCAATAAACTTTGAAGAACCTCAGGGATCCTCGCTTAAGATTAGGGAACTTCGTTGCAGTTTGCCTCAGAAATCTTACTCCAAAAAAGCTTCATGAACTTCATGGAAGTTTTTGGAAACTTCGCTAAATTTCAAGGAACTTTCTAGGTGTTCAAGAATATTTGTAGATGTCTTAGTTGTCTTTCCAGAAGTGCAAATATGTTCAGAGATCTTTGTAAAATTAAAAGAGATGGACAATATATGGAATTTGGAATAAATTCAGGGAACTTCGTAGAAGTTGAGAAAATTTTGTAAAACTTCAGTTTTGTAGATGTTCAGATTGCATAAGTTACAGGATATTATTTCAGACATCCTTCCTGGACAGCAGGAAATATTCGAAAGATCTCTATATAGTCGAAAATATTAGTAAAGTTCACTGAATATTTGGTAGGTTGTATGTAGGTTGATCAGAAAGTATTCAAAAATTTTCCAGTTAATGGAAGATCGAAGTAGTCCGCGCTTGAAGACTGACGAGTGAATTTTTGCTGCGTGTTTTTCTTCCGCTGATTTATCAATTTTTAACTTAATGTCTGCATTGCTTGTAAAATGTCGCGAAGCTTTTAAATCAATGTTGAAAAGTGCATAATAGATACGCGTGTGAGTTGTGTGCCAGATGAGTGAGATTCAAAGCTCTTGCCGGGTAGCATGAGCAGCTGGCTTATGGGGCACGAAGGAGAGGGTTGCCAATATGGATGTTTCGGTGAGTTCCGTTTCCCGAAATGTGCAGCCACTGGGGATCGTCGAAAGCCTGGAGAAGGTGTATTTACAAGGTTCCTCTATGTAACATGACGGAAGAAGCAAACAAAGATAAGTTTAGGTATTTTCTATTATAAATCGCTTCAATCAATATTAGTTTACCAGAACGATCCCTGCTGCAAACCTTTCTCCACATCCAACATAGAATAGAATCATGATGGTCCCACATCTTACCCCTACAATGGTTTGAGCTGGACGATTTATCTTTAAGATGATTAAATATGTCATTGTGACCGGGTTAGCAGACAAATTCGAACTGGTTACAGTTGCAGATATGAATTCCCTCTAGAGTTTACAGTTGCTTCACAGCAATATAAGTGTGTAAGGGCTCAGGCGTTCCCCTCTTAGTTCGCCTTTTTGTTCATGTAAAATATTCATAAGTACAACACCAAGAAGTCGTTTCACACCAGCCGTTAACGTTCTAGCCTTTCAGAAGGCGAAGGAAAAAATTGAACAACTGCGAAAAATGAAAGGAATACGTACAACCGCACAACCGTTCCCAAAGGTGTCGGTCCAGTAGCTCACATGACCTCTGCAGTGGCAGCGCCAGTGGCTTCCACCTCATCTGCTACTACTGCTGCTGCTCCACCTCCACCGCCAGCGAAACCTGTTCCACCGGTACTGGAAGCAGACTCTACCAAAATTTCCTACAACATTCGGATGCAATTCTACAATCTCATGATTAAGCCAGAGTTGAAAATTATCTGGAGAGAATCACCCGGGTGCAAGAGATATCATTCTCTGGGGTGAATCTCTGCTTGTCTCCTCGGAGATTTTTCCTGGCACCACTGGAGAGATTTTTAGACACAGAACGAGAGAGTGAGAATGTTGACAGTTCACTTTTTGTCTGTTTATACACTCACTTCCGTGAGAAAGCTGGCAGCGCAAATGCGTTTTTGTTTCTCCAAAGATTCCGGCAGAGCTTGACGTGAGTGAGTGAAAACATCAATAAAATGGCTGAAAAACGTATGCAAAGACAAGGGCGTAGCCAGGTTTTGAGCCAGGAAGGGGCGAAAAAAAAAATTACTATGGAAATTATAGCCCAATGCCATTTTACCGAAAGCCTCTGTGTTGCTGAGTTTAGTGCGGTTTGAGGACGGTACCGAAAAGGTGGTTGTGAAAGTTGTGCTTTGCAGGGCAAATGAAAAAAAAAACATTAAAAGTGGTCACGGTATTCAACTTGAAGCGGCATCTCGTCAATATTCATCGGGTGTTCTGGTGTGGCTCTGCTCCTCTCTCCATTTTCACTGCAGCTGCTGACGGCATTCCAAGTGCCTTCCTCTCGACACATTTCATCGACGACATTCTCCACGTTAAGGGCGTGCATCTCCCTTCACAAAACTACCTCGAACCTTGGACAGTCGAAGACCACATGCTCCGACGTTTCATCTACGTTGCCACACTCCGAACAGAGGGGTGACACTGCGTGTCCGAACCGATGCAGATACTTTCTGAAGCAGCCGCGGCCAGACAAGAACTGCGTTAGGTGGAATTTGAGGTCTCCGTGATTTCTGTTCACCCACGTTGGAAAAAAAATCTGTATTTGTCTACGTGGTTAGGTTTAATAGAGAGACTTTCAGACAGAGGCTGGTTCATCTCTTTATTAGTCTACGTGTCCATCTACCGTTCTCTGCCGTGTTCCACTCCTGTTGCCACTTAGCCAACGACTCCGCTCTCACAACTTTCCGTACTCTTCCGGCTTTCCTCCGCCTGTAGCACTCGCTGTCTTCCACTTTGAGGTTATGACATGCCACCGACGGCAATATCTTCCCGCTGTACCGCTTTACAGTTACTGTCCAATAGAACTTCCGTTTTATGATGGACTATCTGCAGCTTCGCTCCTTACATCCAATTGGGTTCTTTAATTTTGAAAAATATATCGGTTTTTATATATCATCTGAAAGAGCTTCGTTTTCTGAGCACAGCGATATTTTTTTCGAACCCACACACTTTCATCTCGATTTTTAAATCAATATTTAAAGCAAAATAATAACATCACTGTTTGACACTAAACTGACAAACAGACAGCTCGCTCCCATACAAAATGACACCGAGGGGCGCTAATAAGTTGATTTTTGCAAATGTAATCATTCTCATTTAAAATAGTTCCAGTGTACCAAAATTGATGAAATTTTGGGTTTGGGTTCCATTTTTAATGCAGATTACGAATATGCATTTACCTCAATACCCTTAAAGAACCCTATTACCAATCATGTCGATCGCCTCGGTCGCCAGCACTTCCACCTCTTCCAGCGTCTCGCCTGTTACCGTCAAGACAATGTCGCCCGCAAAGCCAACGATCTCAACTCCTTTGGGCAGCTTCAGCGTTAGCACGCCATTGTACATCCCGGTCCAGATCGTTGGACCAAGGATGGAGCCTAGTGGAACTCCCGCTGTGATCCTAATCGATCTCTGTCCCATGTCTGTCTGTTGACTAAACTTCAATAATGATGCGCTGATGCACTTCCCGTATTCGCATTTCCAAAATGTGTATAGTAACCTTTAAAAAATCTTTGTATGCAATAAACCTAAGAGGAAGAGAAGACAATACGGGGGCGAAAACGAATCACTTTCTGTCAAACGCGAACCATCTCGTGATTGGCCGATTTGAAATGCGTAAGATGGAGATAGAGATAGAAATAGAGATAAAAGAGTAAGAAGTCAGTTGTCTCCTCTTCCTCTTAGCAACAAACTAACAACCAAAGTCTTCACCGGGGTGACTCTCCCCGGTGAAGCAAACGAACTCTCTACGGTGCTCCCTAGTGATCACTCATACGCTCCGGTGTGTCGGACTGGTGGAGGTGCGAGGTCAGAAACTGTATTTGTTTGCGAAGTGGGAGAAGCGATAGAAACTGATAACAAAATAAAGATCTCTCGGGTGAGTTTGCTTTTGTCATAGTGCGAGGTGTCTTTTCAACTCACCACCCTGCTTACACTGGGGAGAATGGCATCCCTGGATTAAGCATAGTCTAAACATCTACACAAGCTGCGAGGATGCCTATTAACGCGCTCAAACCGAGGAGCTGGCCGTTGTCAAAAAATGCAACACTCCAATGATCTACAAAAGCAGTGCTCTTTTGGTGATTAACAAGCTGTTTTGTTTCTGTTTCTCTTTGTTTTCGCAGTAGTAGTTTCTAGTGAAAGAAATGAACTCCATCACATCACTAAACATAACCACGAGCAATAATGAGGAACTGCAGCCCAAACCCCATGATAAACAAGGAGCGGATGCATCCAACGAAACTTTTAAGCGCAAAAGGATCATTACCAACATAGGAGGAAATTCGGTAAGATCCTTTAATTGCATTATTTTATGATTCTTCAATATTGTACAAATATTTACACATTACACACAACTACACATAGTAACTCGGAGCGTTTGGTACGGTATGTCCACGCATCCTTCCACCCCTGTAGATTCAAGAAATGTTCCGCAGTAGGTCTGGCCGTATTGATGTTTATATCATATCTCAGATATGCTGTAAACATCAATTAGACAAGAAAAATGATTAGACCTCATCTAACCTCATCGTTTTCCAGGATGCTTTCTCGTACTGGCTGCGTTTGTATTAGATTAGATTAGATAAACTTTTCCAGTTAATGGAATCAGATGGAATCTTGAATGAGGAATCTCGATTTTATATGACCATTTGTACATTCTCTATAAGGAAGACCCGTGCCTTGGTTATTTAGCTATATTGTCAAAAATTTGCACTCCAGCAGCTGAATTCCGGGCAGAAATTTCCATTTCTACATATACCTAATATGTATAAATTTCTTACTTTTCGATGAATTGTATGCCCAGAATTCAGCTGCAGGATAGTTTGCATGGATTAGCACATAAAAATTCCGTACTTTGTGTGTATTTTTTTTTGATTAAATGAATTACCTGAAAAAAACTCTGACCTGTATAAAGTATGTGTAAATAATAAATAGATACCAAATGGGTTTAACCAAAGGGGTTGGTCACTCTGCACAGAGTGCCAAAATCAAACTTGGGCACACCCGGGTGCAGTCATTGGCGTTGTTTGGCACCCATGGTTACGGCAGTCGCATCCACATTTCCTCCCAGACGAAGAACAGCTGACAGCGGTATCTTGACCTGACCGAGGATTCCGGCCATGGCTACACGAACTAGCGATGTATCTCCCACGGCTGCGGCTGCTTCCAATGCTGCTGCTGGTCCGTCTTTTTTGACGAATTTTAGAGCAAACGGAACAGCAGCAGCAGCAGCAGCATTGAAGGACGAGAAGTACAGCTTCATAATGAACGGAAGTTTTGTGCATTTGTGATCGATCGCGCTGTGGTTGCACTTCATGATGACGTTCACCACCAGGGCTACGCTCGGGAACCCAACCAATCCGGACGAGGAACTTTCCGATTTCAGCGGGAACATTCGCACTTGCGACGGGCGGCAGTCCTTGTTGGTGAATGGAGTCAGCAGCAGATCCTCGGACGGCATACGGGTGATCCGTTTCGGGTCAGTGGTGCGTCCATCATCAGTCCGGCCGATGTTGGTTTCCAGTTTTCCAACGGATGATACTCGGGCGGTGAAAAATTCGGTGCAAATCCGTTTCCTCCGCCGGCTCCCAGAAGGGTTGGTTGACTAATGATTGACGTTCGTTGTGCGGGGTTGGTCTTCCGCCGAAGATGGAAGGATCGTGCAGCAACGGAGCTCGTCCGTTGCAGGCATCCTTGGAGACGGGTGCATCCAGTGTGTAGTCCCAACTGGAGTCCGTGTCGTTTTTGAAAACATTGAAAAACAAAACAAAAACAAGAACTGCTAAAATACCGGTTGCCAAACAAGGCATTATTCACAAGCAATCAATAGTCAGTTGACTGACTTCACTGACCCAACTTTTGTAAAAATAAGTTAAATTACTATCTAGTTATAAAAAGAGACACAATCATTCAAGTTTCGAGCTCATTCCTTTCGATTAGAAATATAGTTAAATCTTGATTTTTTATATAACTCTGAATGTTAGTTAGTCCGATGAATCGAATAAAAATTGTTCTGGATAAATTCTTTATTACTTTTTTTTTTCTGTTCAAATATCAGAATCATGACATTCAGAATCCGGTATCTTAAAACCTGATGAAATAAAATTATAACCTGATTATTCACAATTTCACAGTCAAGATTTTTCGAAATTTTTGAATCTTTATTTTTTCTACTTTCTTATCTCGAAGAATTTTTCTCTCGAGAAATGCTGTGAGTCTCAGAATCTAGGTAAGTTTCCTATGATCTTGAATTACGAATTTTGAAGAACAGGAGATTCAAAACCGAGTCGAAAACTTGTTTAAATCCATTAAATTTAGTTTGAAAATAATTTCGTCCAAATTTTCTTTCAGGCACATTTATTTTGTGTAGTTTTTTTTTGAAACTTTTCATAAGGTTAAACATATTATAATTATTTAAATGTTTATTTGTTTTCAATTAATGTACTAAAATTTTTATGAAATGCTAGTCTTTTTTTTTTATTATATAAATTTATTAGAATATACACAAACAATTTTTAAAATGTTTCTTCATTGCATCATTATTGTTCCACCGTTGTTGCCGAATATGATTTTGAAACTTATACATTCTATTTTTTCCAAAATTTCTCAAATTAAAGGCGATTGCTTCGCCGACTAGCCATAATGCTGCTTTCTCTTTATAACTCTTTTCATTGATACTTATTCCTATTATTTCTTCTGGGTCATCATACACTAAATTCAATCTTCTTCTAATCAAATTATGAATCCAGCTCCATATTTGGTCTGATCCTATACATTTCTTTATACGATGCTCTGTAGTATCTAACTGTCCGCAATATTCGCATGTATCAGTATTTATCCCTGTAATTCTATTCCTAAATTGCTTCACTTTAGAGCTAACAATATCATTCAAGGACATGTAAAGACCTTCTCTAGCTTTGCTACAATTTTCCCACAGGATATCCCACTGTATGTCAAGGTTTTCCATCTCTATCTTAATAGCATGATTACGCTCACTTAGCATAGCGCTGTACATTAGTTTTGTTGAAATTAGCAAAGGATTATTAGCAATTGTATCGGCATAGCATAGCCATTCGCGACTGTTTAAAGTTAGCGAGGTGTTGTTCTTTTGAGCCATCATGAAATGATCAACTGTGTCATCGGCTTGTTCGGAAAATAATACATTTTTAATGCACAACGCTTTACTTTTAAGGTAAGGGTCAATGAGGGAGAGGCCCCCTTTACTCGTATCCATGAACAACTGGTTGCGAGCAACTTTGAATATTTGTCGATTCCAAAGAAACATCCAGCAACTTGTATTAATTTGTGCCAGGTGATTTTTGTTGGGTGGAAAAACTTGTGCTAGATACCATATTTTCGATACTATAAAAGTATTTAGAACCCAGACTTTTTGTATTAAATTCAAATTTCTTTTGGAATGCGTTGTAAGGCAGTGTTTAACTGATCGAATCACTGAATTATAATTATTTGTTACTGTATATGGATATTTTGCATGAAATATTACACCTAATATTTTTAAACTGTCCTGTTCTTGAATTTGGTGCGGTCCAGATTTGCAATTGTTAAACCGCATATAATGCGATTTATGGATGTTCAATTTTATTTTAGAATATATGCTAAAATAGTTGATGATCTCCAGAACCGTGTCGAACTCATGATCGTTGAGGATAAAAATATTGAGATCGTCTGCATAGGCTAATACCTTTATAAAAGTATTGGCCAAGAAGCAGCCTCTAATATTATCACTAATCATTCGTATAAGCGGTTCTATGTACAGAACAAATAGTGCTATACTAATAGGACACCCCTGGCGTACTGAAGACTTAACATGAATGTCATTGGTTAGCAATCCATTGAAGAGAACTTTGGAACTTGCATTACAGTAAAGGTTTTTAAGACAGTTGATAAAGGAAACTGGAAATTCAAATTTTTCAAGCACCGCCCATAGAAACGCATGGTTAACTCTATCGAAGGCCTTTTCTAAATCAAGGCTTAGAAGAAGCCCTTTGAATCTTTTGGTCTGTCCTGCACGAATGGTTATGTTACGCAGTTTTTTTAAGTTATCAACGCATGAGTATTTCGGATTGCATGCCGTCTGGCCAGGTCCAATTATTTTATCTAGTAAGGGATGTAGTCGATTTGCTATTTTTTTTGTGAATAGCTTATAATCCACGTTCAACATACTTATTGGTCTTTTATTAGCTATATCATGTGGATTACCATTCTTTCGAATCAAGGTTATTATACCCTTTGAAAAGTTCATAGGTGGACGCACACCTTCGACCAAGTATTTGTTGAAGAGTACCACCAAATCATCAATGAGGTATTCAGAAAATCTTAAATAA